TTTTTCCTCGTTTTTTATTTTTATCTGAGACTAAGAACAACCGTTTTTTTCTGCAAGATATGCAAGTACATTTTGGCTATGATCATGTTTATACCGTTGAACCAAGAGGTCGTAACGGTGGTCTAGCTCTTTTTTATATGGACGAACCTTCGGTTTCTATTTCTTATTCGGATGAGCAACTAATTGATATAGAAACCACTCTAGACGGACAGAAAATCTTTATGACCTTCGTCTACGGAGATCCGGTGGTAAAAAACCGAGAACACGTCTGGGAGCGGCTCACTCGGATGAGCCTCGCTAGAAAAGGGGCCTGGTTTATGATAGGGGACTTTAATGACATAGTAGGAAACCATGAAAAATGAGGAGGACGAAGGAGATCTGAACTTTCCTTTATTCCCTTTTGAACCATGCTGGATAATTGTGGTATGCTGGAGTTCCCGTATAAAGGAAATTCATTCTCATGGGTAGGAAAAAGACGGTCGGGTAAAGTTAAGTGCCGCCTTGATAGGGCCCTTGGAAACCAGGAATGGCAATCCAAATTTTCCCACACCTCTGTGGAGTACTTGAAACTATGGGGATCGGACCATTGACCAGTTCTAGCTATGATCCGAATCGATAACAAATGGAGGAAAAAATCTTTTAGATTTGATAAAAGATGGCTGGGAAAGCCGGGTTTTAAGGAGGCAGTTATCTCTAGATGGGGCTTTTTTGATGGAACCTCTCGTCGAGGTTTCCACCAAAAAATTGCAAACTGTCGAAAGAGTATCTCCACTTGGAAGAAATCTCTCCCCACTAATTCGGAGAAGTTCATTGAAGACTTGAAGGATCAATTAGATTCAGCACAAGATGATGAGAACACCACGACAGAAGAAATATAAGAGATCAGAAGAAAACTCTGTGCTGCGCTTCGTGACGAAGATATATATTGGCAACAAAAGAGTCGGGAGCGGTGGCACAAGGAGGGAGATAAGAATACCAAATTTTTCCATGCTCTAACCAAACAATGGAGAATCCGGAACCGCATTATCTCCTTAAAAGATAATAATGGAAATTTGGTGGAAAATGCGAAAGGTATTGAACGGGTGGCGTCCAACTACTTCCAAGACCTCTTCACTTCGTCACAGCCGACGGATCCAGAAGAGGCCCTCCGGTTTATTACTGAGAAAGTCACAAATACATCTAACCAACTCCTGCTTATGGACCCTTCAGAATTAGAGATTAAGGAAGCCTTATTCGATATCAACCCAGACAAAGCCCCGGGACCCGATGGGATGACGAGCAAATTTTACCAAAAATTCTGGCTTGAATTTCGCCATGATATAGTTAAACTGGTCAGAGATTTCTTCACTTCGGGATCCTTCGATCCTAGACTTAATCAAACGAACATATGTCTTATCCCTAAAAAAGAAAAGCCCAGAGCGATGACGGAATTTCGTCCGATTAGCCTGTGCAACGTAAGTTATAAAATTATATCTAAGCTTTTATGTAAGAGACTTAAGAAGACTCTACCAAATTTAATCTCAGAGACTCAATCGGCCTTCATGGCTAGACGTCTTATTACAGACAACATTCTGCTGGCACAAGAAAACTTTCACGCTCTCCGTACCAACCCCGTCTGTAGAGAAAATTTCATGGCCATCAAGACAGACATGAGCAAAGCCTATGACCGAGTAGAATGGAGCTTCCTTGAAGCCCTTATGCGTAAACTAGGATTTTCAGAGAGATGGGTCAGACTCCTCATGTTCTGTATCTCCTCGGTCTCATATCAGATACTTATAAATGGAGAACCGAAAGGAAAGATCACCCCATCCAGAGGATTACGACAAGGAGATCCCCTATCCCCTTTTCTCTTTATCCTTTGTATTGAGGCTCTCATCTCGCTTCTTAAGGGAGCAGAAGAGGACAATTGCATTTCTGGGCTGAAAGTAGCCCAAGCAAGTCCACCGGTTTCACATCTTCTGTTTGCTGATGATAGTCTTTTCTTCTGTAGAGCGGACATTCAGCAGGGAGCCAAGATTTTCAGGATTATTGATACATATGGAGGGGCCTCGGGACAACAACTTAATTTGGGAAAATCCTCCATTATGTTCGGGAATAGAGTGGACTCGCTTTTGAAGCAAAGCATCAAGAATGCTATAGGAATATCATCAGAGGGCGGCATGGGAATGTATCTCGGCCTCCCAGAGCAGATCTGTGGATCAAAGAAGAAAGTTTTCTCCTATGTTCATGACCGTCTGAGCAATCGGGTCAATAACTGGTCTGCAAGACTTCTTTCCAAAGGTGGAAAAGAAATCCAAATCAAATCCGTTGCACAAGCCATCCCTACGTACGTCATGTCATGTTTCCTATTGCCCCAAGGAGTGATGGATAAATTGCGGAGTGCCATTGCCAACTTCTGGTGGAGCTCAAAACAGAATAGTAGCGGAATACACTGGATTGCTTGGGATAAGATCTGTAACCCTCAGGATATGGGAGGCCTCGGATTCCGAGACCTACAAGACTTCAACCTAGCCCTTCTAGCAAAACAGCTATGGCGCCTTATTCAATATCCCTCATCTCTCTTGGCACGGGTCTTAAGAGGCAGATATTTTAACCGGTCTGACCCTCTGGATGACCGGAACGTTTACTCACCATCCTATGGGTGGAGGAGTATAATGGCCGCAAAACCGTTTTTGAGGATGGGACTGAGGAAGACAATTGGATCGGGCCTAAATACGAGAGTTTGGAGCGAACCGTGGATTCCTGACCTTAGAGCTCGGCCACCTAGACCGGCCCCGCATATTGGATTTCAAGAGCCGGGAATCCTGGTATACTCTTTCATCCGCCGAGATACTAAACAGTGGGACGTTCCCCTGCTTAGAGAATTTTTCCATCCTGAGGATATTCCCCTTATCCTCGGGATGAGACCTAGCCAGACCCGCACCTTGGATGGATATGCCTGGAATCATTCCAAATCGGGATTGTACTCGGTTAAGTCGGGATATGACCTAATTAGAAGAACGAAGATTGAACGAGAAGCTGGAGCGTTTAGGGAGCCAAGCATCACTGCCCTACAACGACACGTTTGGAGAGTTCGTTCACCTGGGAAGATGAAACACTTTATGTGGCAATCCTTATCTGGATGCGTGGCGACATGCCAAAACCTCACATACCGTCATTTGGGTTCCGACAAACGCTGCCCCCGCTGTGGGGATCCCGAGGAAACCATAAACCACCTTCTGTTCTTATGTCCCCCGGCATTGCAAGTCTGGGCGTTATCGGACTTTCCGTCCCCTCCGGGTGTCTTCCCGAGTACTTCTATTTATCAAAATATGAGCTTCCTCTTTTGGAAAACAAAAGAGCTAGGCATGACGGACCCTACAAAGGATATTTATCCTTGGATCCTATGGTTTATCTGGAAAGCAAGGAATGAGAAGATCTTCAAAGGGAAAGAAATCTCCCCGGTGGATACATGGATACATGCCAAAGTGGAAGCAGAAAGTTGAAGAGTTGCGAACCAACCTGAGGACAGCGACGACGCCCAAGTTGAGGAAGTAGGCCTTCCACCGGACACCAATGCGATACCCGAGGCACCACAAACCCCAATATGTCGGATTGATGCCTCTTGGATCAATCGCGGACAGGTTAGTGGCCTCGGATGGAGCTTTGTGGATGGTGGAGGAAATGAACTTTTTGGACTACAGGGATGTCGTAGAAGCCTCTCGGCCCTCCACGCCGAGATGGATTGCCTCCTGTGGGCTATGTCATGTTTGAGAGAGAGACAGATTCTTTCGGTTCACTTTCAAACTGACTGTTCGGATCTGGTGAATATGACTGAGTTTCCAGCTGATTGGCCGTCCTTTAATGCAGAGATAGACTCTTTCCGCCTACTTCAACAGAGCTTCTCAGAGTGCACTTTATCTCATATTCCGAGGGATCTAAATGTCCGGGCGGATAGTCTTGCGAAAGGAGCTCGAGCAAGAGGCGTTATCTTTTCCCATATCGATCATAACGAGCTAAACGATGGTGGTCCACGGATCACTAATACGTTGGGCCAAATGTGATTGTTTTTTGATGGGCGGGGAAAAAAAAAAAAAAAAAACCAGTTTTGTTCTTATGAAAAGTGAGAAATATGAAAAAAGAATCCAATTGTGAGTATTTTGTATAGAGCACATGTTAAAGTCAGACTGTGAAGCAACTAGCAAGCATCACGGAACTAACGAATCCTTTAATTTCAAAAGTCCAAAGAAGCAATATCATAGGACCTGATGAGTGCACTAGAGAAAAAGAATTGTTTCGGAAAAAAAACAAACAAATAAATTAATTTCTCAACACCAAATATTCATTAATGCTCTTGAGATACTCTTTGAGGACATCCATAAATGAACCAAAATCTGCCGTAGCCTTCACTGGTGGGTTCAACAATCTACAATCCATCATCTCCTTTATGTTATTGGAATGGTAATTGATCTTGATAAACCCTAAAATAAAACATCATTTCATTGATCTTGAGATACTCTTTGAGGACATCTATAATTGAACAAAAATAAAACATCTGGTTGGTTCAACCTGATTTTGATATAAAAATGTGTTTTGGTCAGATATTTATTCATTTTTTTTTTGCCATCTAAAATTCCTTCTAACATAGTATTCCAAAGAAATAGAGTATTCCAAAACCTACTTGGATAGGAAAAAAACAAATAATAGAAACGTCCTAGTAATCTCAGGAAAGAGTAACTAGATGCTAAGACCATCTCCAACTATGATCTCTAATGAAGGGATCTAATTTATTTTTTAATAGCTTTTTTATCACTTCAGTGAATTAGAGCCTCTTACAAATTTTTTCATTGTTTTGTGTCCATTGATATAATTTTAAAAGAGGCTTTAAACAAAAAAAAATGTCATTTTTTTTTCAAATACAAACATTTTATTAATACAAATTAAAAACTTTGCCACAAAACTATCACGACCAAAACACAAACTCAAAAATTAAACCCAAACACACAACAAATGAAATCCACATGAATGCACCGATGCCATGAAAACTCAATTGTTATCAAATGAAACCCAAAACACAAAAACAAAAACGGTGGCCTGTAACTTCAAAAAACCGATGACAGTAGCCTTTGTCCATGCCTCATTGGTGTCCTGCAAGACAATAATTACATGATCAGTTTAGATGATATGAAGATACCACCACCATATTAAAAACAGAACAAGAAGAAAGAGATCCACAATCATATTAATGGTAACAATTTGCAATATACAACAATCTTTTCTACAAAATACTGATGATGACCTACATATTATCTCGAAGCAGAAGCAAGTTTAAATCCATAATATTGAAGTTTTATCTTCCTGCAGCCTTCAGTAACAACAACAGCGAACATAGTTACTACTGTAAAAATGCCCAGCAAGCCTAACAAGTAAGGCCACCAATTCGACAAACTTCCTGAAAAAAACAATAGACTTCTCTTTTTTACAAATCAATTGAATAGAGAGGCGAATGATAGTTACTTCCAGGAAATGTGGAAGACATGCAGGTCTAAAGTAAAGACTAACCATAATTTTGGGGAATATGGAGTAAGAAAAACAAAAGGTACCTGAGATTTGATCGAGCATTTTGTGTAAGGTCTCTGTGTAGCCCGTCAATATTCCCACACATATAATTAGAGATGATCCATGACCTGTAAAAATGCATAGAAACCGGTTATAAGCAAGTTTCCTATTATTACATTTCAGACTCTGATATTGTATCACACAGCCAAGTCATTGTCATTGCACCACAGACTAGTAGAGATGCTGTCACCATTACATGCTTGATCTTCTCGTGACCATCTAAGCCTTCCTTTCGCAGCTTCACCAAGGATGGAAGATGGCACAACACATTTTCATGATCACTTGATATCATCAATCATAATCTTAATACATAAAGAACCCACAAATTCAGGCAAACACATTACATCAAAGGGAAGATCTTAACCAGCATAATTATGGATGCTATTATTTGTGGACTGAGCCAAAGCTGGAAGAGAGAAAGCTTGATCTCAGCTCTAAACTCACCCAGTTTCTCTATAAAAAAACATAGATGTGTGAATTACAAACTTAGATGTGTCATCCGAATAAGGGATTTACAGGACTCAAGTGGGATGAGAACAGAGCATCTGAGATGCTGCCTGTGAATTTAGCTTTGGATCGATCTCGTTTCTATGGGAGGAAGCTCCGGAACATGGTCGCGTTTCCGATGAGAAGAATCCATCGGAGTCTAAGCAGAACGCCGGAGGAGAAGGAGCTTGTGTCGCCGCCGCCATCGACTCGCCAAGATCGAACGCCGGAGGAGAGATTATCGCGTTTCTGGATACTTCGATACCACCGAAGTCGAAGAAAGAAGATAGAAAATATTCTCAACAATATTTTCATTTGACAGACTCTACATCAATCAGAAGCTTTGATTAAAAAAAAACAAAAAAAAAATTAAAAAACGCCACCAATCTTTTTGCGCCACATATGGGGCTCAACCCAGGCTCTTCAATCTCTAAAATAAAAGATGGCTCAAGCATATTAAACCATTTAAACATTTTTTTTTAAATCAAAAACACATTTAGAACCCCTCCTAATACTACTATTGGAGCTGCTATAAGGGTAAGAGTAGGCCTCTCGACTGAAAGCGTCCATCACGTGTAACACTATTGAAGGATATCTCTCGGGCTATAAAGTTTGAGTTCTGATTCTCCAATCCAAAAGAGCAAAGCCAGTGCAAAGGCTACTGATTTGCTCAATCAAAGAACGATATCTACGCCATTATGAAGGGTTATAAATAGTTTTGATTGCAGCTAGACAGCCAGATGCAATGGATACATCCGTGAACCGCAAATCACGAAGGCTTGCACAACTCATATGATGCATCAGAATTCGGTCACAATTCTGTTCTGCGAGCATGAAATAACTAACCAATGCCTTATAGGTATCCACAAATTAATTTACATATATAAAGAATACATGAACTGATCGCATTAAAGATCTCTAAGCAACGACTGGACAGCTTTTAATGTAAATGCAATGAAGAGACCAATCTATGCCTAGAGTGGCACACAAACATAAAACTCAATTCTTATTGGCAAAGCCTTAAATTTCTTATCCGTACTCCGAGTCTAGTAACAATGTAGTGTATGATAGTGTAGAGCCCGTGTGCTAACTACCACTCTGCTTAGCACTGGAGGTAGATGTTGTCATGAACGATTCACCACACCCGCATTGCCCTTGTGAGTTAGGATTGATGAACACAAACTCTGATCTACAATTGGAAAAAAAAAAGAGGTTTATGGGGTTTTCCAAAATCGACAAGAACGGTGTTGTATTATTGTCAGTTTCCTGAAAGTAGACGACAAGTTTGAAATCATATAAAAAATTAGACTATGGGTTTGTAAGGTTATGGTGGTCCAAACCTGAGTTTATCATCTATAAAATCCATCTTGGTTCCAATCACATGCATTAAGGCCTTTGGTTCAACAAGAATCCTCACACCTTTCTCCTCCACCAGCTCATCAAATTTCCCTTTCTCATCTGAAAACAATATTCCCGGAAAAAAATATATACTTAAACCACGGCTCAAGATATATAATCACCAACATGTAACATAGCAAGAAACTCCGAAAGTTCCTAGTACTGATAAATTGTGCAGTCGAAGGTGTAAAGATAGAGAAAACAGTGCATCGTAATGAACTATAAAAGGAAACTCGAGACTGCTTTGTTTGCTAGTCCAGTACATTTTTCGATTCATTCATATAGACATAAACCAAACTGAATGTAAACCTAACTATCAAGTTACGTAAAGTTGAACAAAGCATGAGGCAAGCATCTAGAAACTTAAAGTACAACTATGTATCCAACTACTGTCCCTGAGTTTTTTAAGGAAACAAGAAACATCAAAACGGATGCAGTACAGGTGGCTTTTTAGCGTTTTTATCAAATTTGAGACACACCATGTTAAGGATCTACCCAACTTGAATGTTCTACTCTAAACTAGACACTTCAAGAAAAGAAACATCCGCCAAATCTCTTACTCAAAAATAGATAGCACTTAGAACATAGCAATGCATATGGATTTCTCATCGACGAGCTAAAAGCCAGAGGATAAAACCTGAGGCGAGCATCTAGAGACTTTTAAGGGAACCTATGGTCCTATGCATTCAGCTAGTGTCCCTGAATTTGTCTCATAAGGCAAGAATCATCCGCATAATCTTTTCTTCTAAAACTAGATAGCACTTGATTCATATTAATGCATATGGCTTCTTCATCGATAAGCTAATAACAAACAGATTCATGACTACTGAAGACACACATAATCATTCCCAAATCTCAATTTGGCCAAGTTTAGGTTTTTTTTTCAGCACAAGTTTGAAAATTTCTAAAATCAATGCCGTAAAATCATAAGAGTGAAACTTGGTAATACGTTGCTTCCACCCAAAATCAACAATTCGCCGTCGGTAAATCAAAATTTAATCATAGAAATTGAAATTCAAGAGAGAGAGAGAGAGTCATGTGACGTTACCGGCGTAATTAAGAGTGTATGATAAACCGTTACAGCCACGGGCTTTTACGCCTAATCGGAGGAAAGGTTTCTGCCTCTGCTGCAAGAGATGATGAACCCTAGAAGCAGCTTCGTCCGTCAAGGTTAACACCTGCTTCCTCATCGCCTGTCCAACCCTCGCGGCAGCTGCCGCCAAAACTCGAGAAGCCTTCATCGTCGGAAATTTATAGATTCACGAGACGACGAGATAACATCGGGTCCGTTCGTTTGGATTGTCCCAAGATCAGAGTCGAGAAAGTTTGAAATCGAGATTTGACGATCTCTACAATCGACGGGGATGGAGTCGCGAGCTTTGGAGGATTTCAGAGGAGGTACACGGCGAAGTAACCGCCAGAGTTGCACGGCAGGAAATCGATGGTGATCGGAATTGCCGCGGGCTTGGTTTTGCAATCGAAAATGAGAATAATCTTCAACGTCGTGATAAGAGAAAGTTGAGGCAAAAGGTCAAGATTGGTGTTGTGGCCTATTTGATAATTTGATTTCTCTCTCCTTATGATTTGGGCTTCAAAATTACTTTGGGCCCAACTACAAAACTAAGTTAGAGCCCCAATTGCAGCACAGTCAATTGCAAAGAGAACAAATCGACGAAATACGAAGAAGAAACAGAAATTTCAATTCCAATATAAGAAAACTTGAAGCGAGCTGATTGCAACTACATCTCCGAATACGAAGTCGATTGAACAAGAAAGTAATAAGATCGATTTTCATTTTTTTTTATTATATAGAATAGAGCTGAACGTGTTTAACGTGAACAGTAGTATACTTCTAACTCACCAGATTATGATATATAGTTGTTAATTTAGGTTGTGTATCAATTTAATAATAATAAAAATGAAATTATTGTTATTTATTTGTTTTTTAAGAAGATAAAATAACAAAACAAAAAAAAATTATGTTTAGTTAAAGGGAAAAATGAAAACTACAAAATCATAAAAAATGTAAACTACAAAAAAATTATATAAAATTCTTTTGATTATGATTGGGCTCCGCAGTGGTAGAACCTCGTAAACTTCCAGAGATTTGCTGCTGATTTCCCCTGAAAATGAAATAACAAACACTATTAATATAACCTTAACTACGAAATTCTCTCTTTCTGTCACGTAGGGAAATGATGACGAGGCTCCTTATCCTTTCCTTTCAAGTCGAATGTCAGAATTAGGTAAGGTAACTTATGTCATAGGAACAACAGGTGGGGACCTAGCCCCCGGCGATTGAGGGGATAATACCTAGTATATCTATTCTCAGGGATAGTGAACATGATATAGATAAAGCCTTTTGCTCGAGCTCCTTTTGCTAGACTATCCGCTAGGACATTTGAACTCCTGGGAATATGGGAGATAGTGAAGTCCAAAAAGTTTTCTCGTAATGTCCGGAAGATTTCCAACTCTAAAAGGAAGGGCCAGTCTGATGGAGATTCTGCCATGCTTACCAGATCCAAGCAGTCGGTCTGAAAGTGGATGGATATGATATGTCTATCTCTCACACAAGACACTGCCCAAAGGAGGCTCTCCAATTCGGCATGAAGGGCCAAAAGGCTTCTCTGACAGCCCTGAAGGCCAAAAATCTCTTCACTCCTCTCCTTTCTCAGACTCCACCCGAGCCCACTCGCCAGGCCGTTCTCTATCCAGGATGCATCGACCTGGCAGATCGGGAACCTCTGGGCATCAGGTAGAGATAACGGAGTTAGAGGAATGGGAGTTGTCTCGTCTATTGCGTCCTCGTCTACTTCCGTTTTGTTTGCACTCCTCCAGCTTTCTGCTTCAATCTTTGCGTGGATTAAGGTATCTATCGGGGAAATTTCTTTCCCGTTAAAAATTTTGTCGTTCCTGGCTTTCCAAATATACCATAGGATCCAAGGATAAATATCCTTTTGTGGATCTGTCATGCCTAACTCTTTTGTTTTCCAAAAGAGGAAGCTCATATTTTGGTAAATAGAGTTACTCGGGAAGACGCCCGGAAGGGACGGAAAGTCCGATAACGCCCAGACTTGTAAAGCCACGGGGGACATAAAAATAGAAGATGGTTGATAGATTCTTCAGGGTTCCCGCAGCGGGGGCACCGCCTATCAGTTCCCAAATGCCTTCGGGTCAGGTTTTGGCAAGTAGCAATGCATCCTGATAAAGCTTGCCACATGAAATGTTTCATTTTTCCAGGTGTTCGTACTTTCCAAACATAACTTTGAAGAGCTGTGATACTTGGTTCTCCCACTACATCTGTATTTTGTGCAAGCTTCGCTCTTCTAATCAAATCATAACCCGATTCAACCGAATATATTCTTGATTTAGTATGGTTCCATGCATATCCGTCTAGGGTCCGATTCTTAGTAGGTCTCAACCCAAGGATAAGCGAGACATCCTCAGGTTGGAAGCAGACTCTTAGGAGAGGCTCATCCCATTGTTTCGTATCTTGATGGATAAGATGATATACTAGCATTCCTGGGTCTTGAAAGCCGATTTGGGGGGCTGCTCTTGGAGCTTGGGCTCTAACATCAGGGATCCAAGGTTCACTCCAAACTCTAGTGTTGAGTCCCGACCCGATTGTCTTCCTAAGTCCCAATTTGAGGTACGGTTTGGCAGCCAACATACTCCTCCATCCATAAGATGGTGAGTAGACTTTTCGGTCCTCTAATGGATCAGATTGTCAAAAGTATCTTCCTCTTAGCACTCGAGCCAGAAGAGAGTTCGGATACTGAATGAGTCTCCATAGCTGCTTAGCTAGCAGAGCTAGGTTAAAATCGTTAAGATCCCTAAATCCAAGGCCTCCCATATCCTGGGGAATGCAAATTTTGTCCTAAGCAATCCAATGTATTCCACTGTTATTTTGTTTCAAGCTCCACCAAAAGTTGGTAATGGCACTACGGAGTTTGTCTGTTATCCCTTGTGGAAGAAGAAAGCAGGACATGATGTAGGTCGGAACGGCTTGAGCCACTGATTTGATCTGAATCTCTTTTCCGCCTTTGGAAAGAAGTCTTGCAGACCAATTATTAACCCGGGAGCTTAGGCGATCATGGAAAAAAGAGAAGACTTTCTTCTTTGCTCCGCAGATTTGCTCTGGGAGGCCTAGATACATGCCCATGCCACCTTCTGTCGAGATGCCGATGGTATTTTTAATAGCTCGTTTTTGGTTTGCATCCAATTTATTTCCAAACATGATGGATGATTTGCCCAGGTTAAGTTGTTGCCCCGATGCCGCTCCATAAGTGTTTAATATTCTGAGAATCTCTGCTCCCTGTTGTATGTTCGCTCTACAGAAAAACAGGTTATCATCCGCAAAAAGTAGGTGGGACACTGGGGGGCTTGCTTGGGCCACCTTCAGCCCAGAAATATGTTCTTCTTCCTCAGCACCTTTGAGGAGAGAAATCAGACCTTCTGTGCACAGGATAAAAAGGAACGGGGATAGAGGATCTCCTTGTCTTAATCCCCTTGATGGTTTAATGTGTCATTTAGGTTTTCCATTAATGAGGACCTGGTATGAAACCGAGGAGATGCAATACATAAGTAACTCAACCCATCTCGCCGAGAAACCTAGCTTAATCAGGAGGGCTTCGATGAAACTCCATTCAACCCGATCATAAGCTTTGCTCATATCTGTCTTTATGGCCATAAAGTTTTTGGCTGAGCTTCCTGCCTCAGATGATTCACCTGCCTCCATTACACTACCTCTGTCTTTATGGCCATAAAGTTTTCTCTACAGATGGTTTTCCCTGCATTGTTAGATTTGTTTGCATTCGGGTTCTTCGATGGAAGCGTTTGGTAAATGAGTTTTGTATTACGTTTTTAGAGACATCAATAACTGTTAGTTTTCTTTACGGTATTCGATTGATTGTTGTTATTGTATATATGATTTTTTTACTATTGTCCATGTCTAGGTGCTCACAGGCGACCACATGTTAATTGGCAAGTTATGCCGTTTCATCTCCCTGGGGAAAATATTTCGTTTTCTAATAATTTAGATAGACGTGTTCCTGCCAGAAAACCTAAATTCGTTGCTTGGTTTAGGTGTAATCAGTCTTATCCAGAGGCAAGGAATCTTTTATACTCGGAGATTCCTTCTATGTTTGTATGGGATCGTAAAAATAAGACATGGAGGCCAAGACTAAAGGGAAATTCTGGTGCATGTGTTGTGGACGAGTCGCCGACAGAGTACAGAGAAGAGTATTATCTGAGGCTCTTATTGGACATAGTTAGGGGTCCACGTAGTTTTGATGATATTAGGACTGTTGGTGGAGTCGTGTATCCTTCGTTTAGAAGTGCATACCATGCATTAGGGTTCGTTGGTTGATTACCACAAGACAGTAGTTATTTATCATATTTTCTTTTTAATTTCTTTATTGGGGCATACTTATTTCTTATTTTAATAAAATCAATATATAATAAATGATATTAGAATAATTATATATATCAAATTTTTATAATAATAAAGGTTTAATTATAACATAATATTATTTTGTTTTGCCGTAATCTTATCGTTGCTTAAATTTTATAAATATAAAATAAAATAAAAACATATTTTGAGATATGGTTCGGCGTATATATAGAGTTGTTTCTCATTCTTTTGATATTTTGTAAACTGTAAACGTCTGTCGGTGTATTTGTGATGGATAACTCAGATCGTTGCTTTTCTTTTACTGAGTTTGAATATATCATAGATGGATCTTGCGACGTTAACAGTTTTGTGGGTAAGCTGTGTGTATTATGTATGTTCTTGTGATATGACACATTATATGTTTTGTAAGGATTAAATCGCTATAGTGTTGACTTGCCTTTTTATGTTTTTTTGCGATAAGATCTAATTGGACGTGTTATGACTGTTGGAAACTACGTTGATCCACAAAATCCTTTTGAAAGCTACATGATGAATGAGATATATATCGAATTGGAGAATCATAGGTATTGTGTACTATCATACAATTTATAATTCAAAGCTACTTACTTACAACCAATTTTCCGCTGATTGCTTTATTTTTTAATTATTAGAGGATGTCGTCTATCATGTCGTTTGGTTGGCAATTTTGGTCGAGATTTTCTCGATGGTTTGATGCATTATGATGACGATATGATAATATGTATCGTTCTGTCTGCAAAAGTTGATATCATCCGAGGTATTCTAAGGCTGAAATGCATGATACTTTTTCGAGTATAGATATAACTCGACAAAAATTATAAGTGTTTGTTAAGTTATTAATTCTTTTAATTGTTTTTTTTTTGTGATCATAAGGTAATTGGATGGCTGATGCTGTTAGGGTTGACTTCGCGGCTTCATGTTTTAAATTTATAACCCTAGATATCTGCAAGTACACAGCAGTGCGTTGTAGTACTTAGGGTGTCGATCCACAGAGAATCCACGCTTTACCTGCAGAACCTTAGAACCAGAAGTAGTAAACGAAGTCTAAGATGAAAAACGGGTTTTGGATAGGTTGTGCGATTTCTATA